AATCCAGGCTGACCTCCCCACGTCAGGATCCCAAATTTATTCACATCTGCAGAGCCTCTGCCTGTCAGAGCAGGCAGCTGGTAACCTCCAGCTCTCCAGAGCAGAGGGATGCCCTTGGCGTCAGTGGGCAGGAAGTCGGCGTTTCCCTGCTGATGGGATCCTGCCACGGACGATGGCGCACCGGGGCAGGGCTGTCTTGTTTGATGTCAGTCTGAAGTGGCGTGGGGTCTTGGCAAGGGGTCTGAAGTGCCTCTTGGAAGCCAGAAAGGTCAGTTTATATCTGTGGAAGGCCCAGTCCATGACTGTTTGGGACAGAACCAAAGAGATGAGGTGGCTATCTGGAAAGGACGATGCTCGGCTGGAGACCGTCACTCATTCTTTCATTCGTCCTCCACATTTCCTTGCCCGGCACAGTGCAGGAGCTGAGGGCACCGACGTGAATGAGAAACCACCCCATAGGAGTTCACCTTCTGCTTGGGGAAGAGCATCATGGGAGCGAAGCAGTGGCAGCTCTGTGGCAGCTGAAGTAGAAAGTGATAAAACGGGTCCCGGGGACATGGAGCTCGGTGGGGGAGGGGGCATTGGGTAAACACCAAGGAGAAAACCTTGAAGGCGGGGGTGAGGAGGGTGTTTTGGGTAGCCGGAACCGCATTTGCAGAAGCCAGGAGAAGGGAAGCGGCGCGTTGCCTTTGAAGAGCGGGGTGACATGCTGTCGGGGTGGCTGTGAAGCGGGAGGCGGTATATATCTGGAGAGGGGCTGGGGCCCCAGGTGGAATCTGTTTGCCTTGTCTCTCCAGTTTAATGAGAAATTCCAAGAAGGTCACGTATGCCTCCTTCTCAGCTTGTTAAGTCCTTCAGCCGCAATTATTGCTCTGTGGCCCCCCCATTAAATGCTTCTTGATGAGAAGCCTTTCCCAACAGCCACAGTCTCCCGCACTTGCTTCGTCTCACTAGATAGGACTAGATGGCAGGGCAGATGAGTCACTTTTATGGCATGCATCTGCCCTCGTGTCTGATGAGACCTGCACTCAAATCAGAGCCTGGTTTATTCACCCGGTGGCCCCTGGAGTGAGTCCATTCTAAGGCTGTCACTGTATTTCTCTGGGTTTGGGCTTGGGTGGGGGGTGTTTAGTTGAGGCAAGTTAGGGTATACAAGTGAGGCAGGAGCACCAGCTTCGTTCCTGAGCCTGGGAACGGGCACTCACTGCCTCTTCCTGCCCCAGCTGCGGCCGCGACAGGCTCAGTCACTCTGGAGCAGGGTGGCTCAGTGGGCTCCTGGCAGGGAACAAAAAGACAGACACATTAAATGTCAGTTATGCTTCTCCCCGACATCACCCTTCATTGCTGTTGATGCCTCCATTCAAACAAATGATCTAATTTACAGTTTCTGGGGAACTTTAGAAAAAAAGAATCAAAACCCCAGGTTACCTGAGATGCTGCAGTTACATGTCTTAACAGCTCAAAAAAAAAAACTGTATTTTGTCAAAACGAAATCACAACTATTAAGGAGCCTTTCAAAGTTCTAACAACAGCCGGCCTCATCAGATAACTCATCACAAGGCTGCTCTTGTGAGTAGCTAAGCACACTCTGCAGATAATATCTCATTAAACCAGCCAGCCTCCCCGGGAAAAAGCTAGCAGCAGTAGCTTGCAGACCGCTTTCTTCTCTCGCAGTCGGGGGTGTTCCTGCTGCCTTAAAGGAAGCTTGAAGAAACCGTAGCCCGCCTAGATTGAGAGTTGTTTTTTTTTTTTTTTTATCTGCATGCTATACCTCGGAATACATCCAGAACAACTTCTCGACCTTAGGAAGTGCATTAGGCCTTCCCGCTGCCAGGACACAGGTCCCCTCTGCAGCTAGCCGCCACCCTTTTCAATCTTCACTGAGCCCCATTCTGGGCCAGGCACTGTGCTTAAAGCTGGGAGCCAGAGATGAGGGAAACACCACTCCTGTCCTGTCGTCTGGTGGGTGGGAAAGGCACAAGAGCAGGTTTTTCCAATAGAATGTTGTCTGTGGTTTACTGAAGGTAGGTCATAGATCAGCTGACCCAAGCTAGCTGTCAGAAAAGCCAGCCCGGCAGCCAGTTCCGTGGCAGTTGTATCCCCAACTCTGTGGCAGGTGCTGTGCATTCACTAATCCTATTTCCAATTCCCTTTTCCTTGCTGCTTCCCACTGGGGAGGCTGTACAGCTAAATACTTGCTTTTCCAGCCTCTCTGGCAGCTAGAGGGGCCATGTGATCTAGTTCTGGCCAATAAGAAGCGAAATCTACAGGGTGGTTCTGAAAAAGCTCTTCTGTTTTTGATTAAGAGGGACAACCAGTCTAGTGTAGCTCTTTGCTCCTTTTTGCCTTGATCATAATTCATGATGGCTATAGCCACAGCAGCAATCTTGTGCCATGAGGGAAAAGCTGAGAGATTTGCAGGTCCTTGTTGAGCCAGTGACCTACCAGCTGCCTCCTTAGACTTCTTGTCATGTGAGAAACAAATAACCTCTGTATATTTAAGCCACTAAAGTTTTAGGCTTCTGGGACTTGTAGCCAAAGGCATCTCTAACTGATTCAGTCAAGAAATAATGATTGAAGTCACAAATAATGTGATCACCTGAGTTAAATCTTAACAGATTGGGGCATGCCGGGGGTATTCCAGTTGGAGGAAACTGAAATAACATATACAAAAGCTTGAAGCCAGAAGCCATGAGGAGCTCACAAAGAAGCCACAGACAAGAACTCCACTGTTGCTGAAGTTTGAGTCAGGCAGTGGTTGGATATAAGTCGCAGCATTTGCAGCAATTGAGTACGAGTCCCAGCAGCCTAACTTCGGTGGCTTCAACAAATAGAGGGTATTTGTTTCTTGCGTGACAAAGTCTGTAAGTAGGCAGCTACGTTGGATCTGGAGAAGCAGACAACAAAGACCAGATTACAATAGTTTCCTTGGATACAAAGAGAGTTCCAGGTTCCAGTGACCAAGAACTCTCCACGTTACCCCGGCAACTGCAGAATTACAGCCAAAGCCACCATAGCAAGAATGAAAGGAAAGAAGTGAATGCATTTTTCCTGTTGGTCACTGTATTAGTTACCTCTTGCTACTTAACAAATTAACCCAAAATTTAGCAGGTGGGGTGGGAATATAGAAGTAGCTTAAGTGGGTCTTCTGGCTTAGAGTCTCTCATAAGGCCGCAGTCAAGATGTTCACGGGCCTGCAGTCTCATCTGAAGACTTGACTGGGGAATGACCCACTTCCACATTCACTAACGTGCTTGCTGACAGGATTTAATTCTTCATGGGCTCTTGGCTCCAGAGGTCCCCTTCAGTTCCTTGCCCCAGGGGTCTCCCTGTGAGGCAACTCACAACAGGACAGCTGGCTTCATCAGAGTGAGAAAGCGAGAGAGCAAGAGGGAAGCCAGAGACTTTTTGTAACCTCTCTGAAGTGAAATCCCACTCTTTTGCTGTATTCTGTTTAGTAGAAGCAAGTTACTAGGCCCAGCCCTCACTCAAGGGGAGGGACTGCAGGTGAGTACTAGGAGGTGAGGATCACTGGGAACCACCTCCTCTCTCCTCCTCCCTTGTCCTGGTCAGCAGCTGCAGCACCCATTTCATTATTGGCATGATCATCACCACAGCCACAGCAGTTCATTAAATGCTTCTTGTACATCAGACTGCTCATACATAGCTCATTTAGCTTCTCAACAACCCAGTAAGAGGAAGTAATATTATCCCCATCTTGCATATGAGGAAATTGCAGCTCAGAGAGGAACTGTGATTTGCCCTACATCACACAGCCAGTGAAAGGTAAAACTAGGAGTCAAACCAAAGCCTAACTCCAGTGGAGCCCGACACTCCAGGAGACAGCATCTTGGAGGCAGGAGAGCCATGTCTGCCAGTGTGCCCTGGAGCCCAGGCTGTGTTCTGCTTTCCTTCAACCTCACCCTGGCCCTGAAATCCCCAGATGGTGGAGACAGGAGGGTGGGCGGAACCCTCAAAATGCTTCAGGCCTAGATAAAGGACAATAGGTAAAAGCAGAAAAGATCTGGGGTACCTGGGTGGCTCAGCCATTAAGCGTCTGCCCTTGGCTCAGGTCATGATCCCAGGGTCCTGGGATCCAGCCCCGCATCGGGCTCCCTGCTCCGCGGGAAGCCTTCTTCTCCCTCTCCCTCTCCCACTCCCTGCTTGTGTTCCCTCTCTCATTGTCTCTCTCTCCCTGTCAAATAAATAAATAAAATCTTAAAAAAAAAAAAAAAGATCTGTAGATTACTCATCCTGTAACAATTTTAATTTCCTGATTTTAATCATTGCTCTGCAGTTATATAAGAAAATGCTTTTGTTCTTAGAAAACATACTGAAGTATTTAGAGGTAAAGAGGTATTACCTCTACAACTTACCCTTAAACATTTTAGAAAAAAAATTATAGGTACAAACCTGTGTGTGTTGTGTAGAGAAAGAGAGAATGAGTGTTAAAGCAAATGTGGTAAGATGTTAACATTTGGGGAATGTGGGTAAAGGGTATATAGGCATTGTTTGTTCAAATTTTGCAACTCTACTTGAAAATCTGAAAGTATTTTTAAATAAGTTTTTTAAGAAGTACCGGTCTACTCTGGGACCTAGTGAGCTTCACTTGGACTATCAGAGATGACATATAGGGGTCTTAACCCCCTTTTGATTCCAAGGTGACCCATCAGAGCCCAGGGAGGGTATAGAGCTTACAAGAAGAACATGGTCTCTGAATCAGGCTGTCTGGGTTCCAGTCGTGCAGCTTCTAAGGTCCCTGAGCTGGATAGGTGACCACGCAGGGTTGTGGAAAGGATTTGAGGAGACAAGGGGTATACCGTGACATAGTGTTGAGCACAGGTCCTGGCCCATGGTAAACCCTCCAAAAATGTTATTACTGCCCCCTCAGTCACCTTACAAATGAGAAGTAATAGCCTCTGTATGCTTTAGGGACGCTGATCTGGACTGTTTGTCTTGTGCCAACTCTCTAACATCAGTTTTTGTCCCCACGAAAGCAGGGTGGCCACTGCCGCGGGTGTGGATGTGCCTGACAAGATGAAGAGCCAAATCCCAGTGGTGCTCCTGGCCTGTGGCTCCTTCAATCCGATCACCAACATGCACCTGCGCTTGTTTGAGGTGGCCAGAGACCACCTACATCAAACAGGTCAGTCAGGGGTGCCAGGCGCAATGGACAGATGGATGGATTGGGCCTTGTGGGGTTCTCCTGGTTGTTGTCATCATCACCATTATTAAAACTGCTCAGTTTACGAATTCACAGCGTAACTGGTGGCATGCATTCCTCCATCATGTTCGGAGAGCTAACACCCCTTAGCCCTGTGACATGTGGACAAGTCCTATCCCTGGCCATAAAGTCGAAGATTTCTCAGGCTCCACCATCCCCTGCCACATGTTGCCCATGAAGGTTAAAAAGACCCTGGGCACTTTCTAGAAACTGTGTCTCAGGGCATTCTTCCTGATGCTCCCAGGAAGCATTTACCTGCACAGCCAGATGAATAGGTAGCATGTGCCTTGTTACTCTTGTGCATGTGCATGAGAGTTCTTGCTGCTCTTCAGTGGGTAAGCAAACATGCTATAATGGGAATTTGGACATTTTCTCCTTTGAATAGATCTTAGACAATTACAAATTAACAATCTTGCATATAGGGCATTTCCAGTACAGATGGCATGGCTTTGCCGGAAATATTTAATCAGCTGGGAATATTTAATCTGGAAATGTTCCATCTCTTTGACTTTCTCTTTCATTATTAGAGAGTAAAATGGCATTCGGAATCTGCATAATTATTTCTAAAGAATGTAAGTCATTTATATGTTGATGTCAGATATATATGAAAGTATTTATGTATTTATGTATACCTAAAGTATTCATAAATGTATTTCGTATTTTTGTATTCAAAAATATTTGCCTTTAAGGGCATTGTTTTTAAACCAGAACCAATTCCTATTTATTTTTAATGTAGAGAAAGAGTATTCGAGTAACATGCAAATAATTTCTTCGAAGAAATTATGTACAAATGTTAGTTTATTTTAAAGGAAATGTCTTTGTACCACAAACTTTTTTTATTTGAAAGATGAAAGTGAGGGGGCCTGGGTGGCTCGGTCAGTTAAGCATCTGACCCTTGATTTAGGCTCAGGTCATGTTCTCATGGGTTGTGGGATCAAGCCCCACATAGGGCTCTACGCTTAGTGGTGGGAAGTCTGCTTGGGATTCTCTCTCTCCCTCTGCTTCTCCCCTCACTTCTGCGCATGCTCTCTCTCAAATAAATGTCTTTAAAAAAAAAAAAGGTGAAAGTGGGTATCTATCCTTAGTAAATATATAGCTTTTACAAAGGAATGAAAAATCCAAACAATCCAGTGAACATTAGTAGCAGTATACCAAAGGAGAAATATAAGTGACCAATAAACTTGGGAAAAGATGCTCAATGTAGGGGCGCCTGGGTGGTTCAGTTGTTAAGTGTCTGCCTTCAGCTCAGGTCATGATCCCAGGGCCCTGGGATCGAGCCCCAAATCAGGCTCTCTGCTTGGCGGGAAGCCTGCTTCTCCCCCTGTCTCACTCCCCCTGCTTGTGTTCCCTCTCTCACTATTTCTCTCTCTGTCAAATAAGTAAAATCTTAAAAAAAAAAAAAAAAAAGATGCTCAATGTCACTGATAATCAGTGAAAATACAAATAAAAACATGGTCAACACCACAAGGTTATAAGCACCATGAGGGCAGCTACTGCGGCTGCTTGAACACAGAATTGCTACCATCCATCACCAGGCTTGAAGTCAGTGCTCAATAAATACCTGTTATAGTAGAAGATAGCTTTAGCCTGTGCAATTGGCAAAGATTAAAGACTGACAAAATTTGGTGGCGACAGGATAGGGAGGGAAACAGACACTCTCATCTATTGGTAGTGATAGGATAAATGATGAAACATTTTTGGAGGGCAATTTGGTGTTCTGTGGCAAAAAATTTAAAGTCTGTATTCATACCCATAATGAGAAGAAAAATCAATCGATTGAAACTGAAACAATTCACACAGATGTGAGAATTAGCAGACGACATTAAAACAGTTACTATAATTATATGCCATACGCTCAGAAGTAGAGACCTGGAAAATATAAAAAGGGCTCAAAACAAATATTAAGAGATGAAAACTACAATTCGTGGGAGGAAAAATACACCGGAAAGGATTAACAGATTAGATGTTGCAGAAGAAAAGGTTAGTGAACTTAAAGATAGAACAGTGGAAATGATCTAAAATGAAACACAGAGGGAAAAAATGGAATTCTAAAAAGAAAGAATATCAATGAGATTTCGGGTAACTTAAAAGAATCTTGATATACTTGTAATCCTAGAAGGAAAAAACAGAGGAAGAACAGGAAAAAATATTTGAAGAAATAATAGAAAAATTTCCAAATTTGATGAAAACAGATTTTATCAAGTAGCTCAACAAATTCCAAACACAAGAAACATGAAGGAAACACCACCAGGGTATGTGATAATAAAATTTCTCAAAACCAATAATAAAAAAATCTTAGAAGCAGCCACAGAAGAACAAAAATAAAGAGGACAGCAGATTTCCCATTATTGAATTCAACAAAGGGGAATTTAGTGGAACAACATCTTTAAAGTACTGAAAGAAAAAAAACTGTCAACCTAGGATTCTATATCTAGCAAAAATATATCTTTCAGAAACAAAGGCCAAAAAAAAAAAAAAAAAGAAATTTTCAACTATACAAAAGCTAAAAGATTTCACCATCAGACTTTCACTACTGGAATGCTAAAGGCATTCCCTCAGGCAGAAGGAAATGATGCCAAATGGAAATATGGATCTACACAAAGGAATACAGGGCATTGATAACCACATGGGCAATTACATAAGTTTTTTTCTTATTATTTAAACTTCTTTAAAAGATAATTGACTGTTTAAACAAAAATAATAGGAATATACTGTGGAGTTTATAACATGTAGAAGTAAAATATATGACAAGTATATAAGACATAAAACATATGACAATATCATAAAGACAGGGAGGGGAAAAATGGAAGAAGACTATTGTAAGATTCTTATACATGAAGTAGTATAATATCACCTAAAGGTAGATTGTGACAAGTTAAAGATTTTATATATATATATATAAAAACCCTAATACAGCCACTAAAAACAAAAAAAAAAACAGCTAATAAGCATGCGAAGAAGATAAAATAGAATCAGAATATACTCAGTTAATATAAAAGAAGAAAGGAAAAGAGGAAAGGGGACCGAAGGATAGATGGGGCAAATAGAAAGCAAATAACAAGATGACAGACTTAAATCTAACCATATCAATAATCACAAAATATAAGTACAGTTGACCCTTGAACAACACAGATTTGAACCATACAGGGCCCCTTATACACAGATTTTTTTTTTTTGATGAATACAGTACAATTCTGTAAATGTATTTTCTCTTCCTTATGATTTTCTTCATAACATTTTCTTTTCTCTAGCTTGCTTTGTTGTAAATATGGTATATAATACATACAACATATGTGTTGATGAACTTTTTATGTTATCAGTAAGGCTTCTGGTCAGCAGTAGAGTATTAGTTAAGTTTGGGGGAAGTCAAAAGTTACACGTGGATTTTCAACTGCGTGGGAGGTTGGCGCCCCTAAGGGTCAGTTGTAGTCTAACAACTCCTACTAAAGGGCAGACACCGTCAGATTGGATAAACTAAGCAACACCCAACTACAATTATATGATGCCTACAAGAAACACAGTAAAATATAAAGACACAAATAGGTTCAAAGTAAAAGAATGGAAAACTACTCCATTCTAACACTAATTAAAAGAAAACTGAAATGGTTATAGTAATATCAGAGAAAAGAGATTTCAGATGAAAGAATATTACCAGGGATAAAGGAAGTCATTTCATAATTATAAAGAAGCCAATTCTCTAAGAGGAAATAATAATCCTAATATTTTTTTTACTTAATAACAGAGAACTGCAAGAAAAATTGATAAATCTGCAATTACAGTCAGATATTTCAATTCTCACTAATTGATAGAATAAGTACACAGAAAATAATTAAGGATGTAGAAAACTTAAACGACATTATCAACCAATTCGACCTAGTTGACATTTAAAGATAACACTCAACCAAACATCAGCAGAACACATGTTCCTTTCAAGGACACAGAGAAATTTACCAAGATAGACCATATTCTGGGCCATAAAAGAAATCTCAATAAAAGTGAAAGGATTGAAATCCTACAAAGTACATTCTGCAACCACAATAGAATTAAATGACAAATCACTAACAGAAAGATCTCTGGAAGATCCCCAAATATGAAAATGAAATAACACACTTCTAAAAACCCATGGGTCACAAAAGAAATCCAAATGGAAACTAGAAAACATTTTGAGCTGAATGGAGATGAAAACAATATATCAAAAATTTTGGGATGTCACTAAAGCAGTACTTAGGGGAATTTTATAGCACTAAATACCATATTAGGGAAAAAAGAAAGAAAGAAAGGTCTCAAATCAATGACTTCAGCTCCTACCTTAAGAAATTAGGGATAGAGGAGCAAACACAAAGCAAGCATAAGGAAGGAAACAAGATCAGAGCAGATATCAATGAAATAGAAAACAAAGGTATTAGAGAAAATTAATAAACCAATACCTGTTTCTTTGAGAATATCAACAAAATTGAGACACCTCTAGACAAATTATCAAGGGGGGGGAAAGAGGAAAGACACAAACTACCATCATCAGGAATGAGAGAGGTGATACAACTATAGATTCTGATATGAAAAAGATAAGGGAATATTATAAATAACTTTATGCCTATAAATTTGACAACCTAATTAGAATAGACAAATCCCTTGAAAGGCTCATTCAAGCTCATTCAAGAATAGATTTTTTTTTTAAAAAGTAACCTGAATAGCTCAATATCAATTAAAGAAATTTCATTTGTAGCTTAAAAACCATCCCATAGAGGATTCTGGGAAGATGGCAGACTAGGAAACACCAGCAATCTGTCTCCCCACCTAAACAGCAATTGCACTGGCAGAATCTGTCTGATGTAACTATTTTGGAACTCTGGAGTCTGTTGAAGGCTTGCAACTTCTAGGGGAGGACTTGGACAGGTAAATTGCAGCTAACTTCAATCAGTTTC